GATAACGGGGCTGATGGAGGGAGCTGCTATGGGATAACGGGGCTGATGGAGGGAGCTGCTTGGGATAACGGGGCTGATGGAGGGAGCTGCTCCGGGATAACGGGGCTGATGGAGGGAGCTGCTCCGGGATAACGGGGCTGATGGAGGGAGCTGCTATGGGATAACGGGGCTGATGGAGGGAGCTGCTATGGGATAACGGGGCTGATGGAGGGAGCTGCTAGGGGATAACGGGTGGATGGAGGGAGCTGCTATGGGATAACGGGGCTGATGGAGGGAGCTGCTATGGGATAACGGGGCTGATGGAGGGAGCTGCTCCGGGATAACGGGGCTGATGGAGGGAGCTGCTTGGGATAACGGGGCTGATGGAGGGAGCTGCTATGGGATAACGGGGCTGATGGAGGGAGCTGCTCCGGGATAACGGGGCTGATGGAGGGAGCTGCTCTTTGTACCTACAGCTGGGGTGTCTCTATACCCACAGCTGGGTGTCCCTGTACCCATAGTGCCCATGACCACAGCCGAGGTGTTCCTATACCCACAGAGAGGCTATCCCCATGCCCACAACTGAGATGTCCCTATACCCACAACTGAGATGTCCCCGTTCCCAACCTGAGGCATGCCCGTGCTCCCATTGGGGTCTCCCCACCCCAGTGTGCTGATTCCCCGTGTCCCCGCAGGAGACTCTTGGGGGGTCCTCACGTTCCTTTGTGCCGCGCTCTGCCACCTGCCCGCGCTGCCGGCGCTGAACTGCACCGAGGAGCTGGGCCCCGGCCACTCCATCCAGCAGACCTACGACCTGACCCGCTACCTGGAGCACCAGCTCCGCTCCCTGGCCGGCACCTACGTGAGTTGGGGCACCCGAACCCCACAGCACCAATGGGATGGGGGGGGGGTCCTCATCATCATCCCTGTGCGCATCGCATCCCATTGCATCCCATCACATCCCACCCGGAGCTGATGCACACAGTGTGTGTGTGTGTGCCCCCATAATGGGGATGGGATGGGATGGGATGGGATGGGATGGGATGGGATGGGATGGGATGGGTGGGATGGGTGGATGGGGGGATGGGATGGATGGGATGGGATGGGATGGGATGGGTGGGATGGATGGATGGATGGGTGGATGGGTGGGATGGATGGGTGGGATGGGATGGGATGGATGGGATGGGGATGGGATGGGATGGGATGGGATGGAGGGACAAACATCATGGGGTTGCACAAGGTGGAGCCCCCCCCATAGGAAAGGGGATGGAGTGGCTGCCCCATTGCCAGCAGCCAGGGATGCCCCTACCTGCATGTAAAGGAGGGTGTGCAGGTGGGTGCATGCGTGTGGTGTGCACTGGGGGGATGCATGCACGTGTGCCTGCACATACATGTACATCAGAGTGCCTGCATCCCTGTACCCCCATCCCTGTGCCCACACACACGTGTCCATCACTGCCCCCATCCCTGTACCCACACACACGTGTCCATCAGTGCCCCATCCCTGTACCCACACACACGTGTCCATCAGTGCCCCATCCCTGTACCCACACACACGTGTCCATCAGTGCCCCATCCCTGTACCCACACACACGTGTCCATCAGTGCCCCATCCCTGTACCCACACACACGTGTCCATCAGTGCCCCATCCCTGTACCCACACACACGTGTCCATCAGTGCCCCATCCCTGTACCCACACACACGTGTCCATCAGTGCCCCATCCCTGTACCCACACACACGTGTCCATCAGTGCCCCATCCCTGTACCCACACACACGTGTCCATCAGTGCCCCATCCCTGTACCCACACACACGTGTCCATCAGTGCCCCATCCCTGTACCCACACACACGTGTCCATCAGTGCCCCATCCCTGTACCCACACACACGTGTCCATCAGTGCCCCATCCCTGTACCCACACACACGTGTCCATCAGTGCCCCATCCCTGTACCCACACACACGTGTCCATCAGTGCCCCATCCCTGTACCCACACACGTGTCCAGTGCCCCATCCCTGTACCCACACACACGTGGTCCATCAGTGCCCCATCCCTGTACCCACACACACGTGTCCATCAGTGCCCCATCCCTGTACCCACACACACGTGTCCATCAGTGCCCCCATCCCTGTACCCACACACACGTGTCCATCAGTGCCCCATCCCTGTACCCACACACACGTGTCCATCAGTGCCCCATCCCTGTACCCACACACACATGTCCATCCCTGTGCCCCATCCCTGTACCCACACACACGTGTCCATCAGTGCCCCCATCCCTGTACGCACACACACGTGTCCATCAGTGCCCCATCCCTGTACCCACACACACGTGTCCATCAGTGCCCCATCCCTGTACCCACACACACGTGTCCATCAGTGCCCCATCCCTGTACCCACACACACGTGTCCATCAGTGCCCCCATCCCTGTACCCACACACACGTGTCCATCAGTGCCCCATCCCTGTACCCACACACACGTGTCCATCAGTGCCCCATCCCTGTACCCACACACACGTGTCCATCAGTGCCCCATCCCTGTACCCACACACACGTGTCCATCAGTGCCCCATCCCTGTACCCACACACACGTGTCCATCAGTGCCCCATCCCTGTACCCACACACACGTGTCCATCAGTGCCCCATCCCTGTACCCACACACACGTGTCCATCCCTGTGCCCCCATCCCTGTACCCACACACACGTGTCCATCAGTGCCCCATCCCTGTACCCACACACACGTGTCCATCAGTGCCCCATCCCTGTACCCACACACACGTGTCCATCACACAGGAGGTGCCCTCAGCCGTGCCCGTTCCCCCCCCCCCCCCCTGCAGGGCCCTGTTTGCTCTCCCGTGCCCCTGCCCAACGGCACCGCCCTGGCCCTGGGCTCTGCGGCTCCCATGGGTGCAGCCGTGCCCCAGGGCAGGAAATGGCTCAGGAGCACTGGGTGTGGGCAGGGAACAGAGCGGGTGCAGGCAGGGAGCAGGGAGCAGGGGGTGCAGGATGGGTGTAGGGGGCAGCCTGGGTGCAGGGTGTAGGCACGGTGTAGGGTACAGGCAGGGTGCAGGGAGGGTGCAGGCAGGGCACAGGGTGCAGGGTGCAGGCAGGATGCAGGCAGGGTGCAGGATACAGTCATGGTGCAGGATACAGACAGGGTGCAGGATACAGTCAGGGTGCAGACAGGGTGCAAGGTACAGGCAGGGTGTAGGCAGGGTGCAGGGTGCAGGGTCCGGGCAGGGTGCAGGCGGGGTGCAGGGTACAGGATACAGTCACGGTGCAGGCTGCAGGCAGGGTGCAGGGTGCAGGATACAGTCAGGGTGTAGGCAGGGTGCAGGCAGGGGGCAGGCAAGGGGCAGTGTGCAGGCAGGGTACAGTCCGGGTGCAGGGTCCAGTCAGGGTGTAGGCAGGGTACAGGCAGGGTGCAGGCAGGGTGCAGGGTGCCGGTATCTGCCTGTCCCTTCCCACTGGCTCCTCCACCTCTGCCCTGCCGTGCCCTTGGGGTGCTGGCAGTGACGAGGGTGGCTCCACCTTGGGGTTGGGGTTGGGGTTAGGGTCAACCCCCCCATGGGTGCCTCTGGGTGGGCACAGGCAGGGGTGGGATGGGGATGGGGATGGGGCCAGAGAGGCTGGGCCATGGAGGCAGGGAGGTGGCACCTTCCCCTCTGGGGACAGGGAGCCTGGTAGGGACATGTGATGGGCAAGGAGGGACATGGGGACCTGGGACAGGGTTGTCAGGGGGACCCGGACACCTGGGAGGAGGGGGCTGTATCCAGACTGTGGGATGTGGGGACCTGGAACATGGGGGGCACTTGCACCTGGGGACATGGAGAGGAGGACACAGAGACTGGGACCAAGGTGGGCAGAAGGACACGGGGACCTGTGACAAGTAGGACATGGGGATGGGGACACGGTGGGCAGTGGGGAATGAAGACCTGCAAAGAGGGGGCCATGACCAAACGGGGGACATAGAAGCCTGGGACATGGTGGGTATGTGGGGGACAGGGGGACATAGAGACCTGTGATGGGGGGACATGGAGACGGGGGATGTGGGCAGGTGGACATGGGTACCAGAATGAGGGGGACATGGATACAGAGGGTTTGGACAGGGGGACATGGGTACCTGGATGAGAAAGATGTGGGTAGCTGGATGGAAGGATGTGAGTACCTGGATGAGAAGGATGTGGGTACCTGGATGAGAAGGATGTGGGTACCTGGATGAGAAGGATGTGGGTACCTGGATGAGAAAGATGTGGGTAGCTGGATGAGAAGGATGTGAGTACCTGGATGAGAAGGATGTGGGTACCTGGATGAGAAGGATGTGGGTACCTGGATGAGAAGGATGTGGGTACCTGGATGAGAAGGATGTGGGTACCTGGATGAGAAGGATGTGGGTACCTGGATGAGAAAGATGTGGGTACCTGGATGAGAAGGATGTGGGTACCTGGATGAGAAGGACATGGACATAGGGGATTTGGACAGGGGGGCATGGGTACCTGGATGAGATGGACATGGGTACCTGGATGAGAAGGATGCGGGCACCTGGGTGAGAAGGGTGTGGGCTCCTGGATGAGAAGGACATGGGTACCTGGATGAGGGGGACATGGACACAGGGAATTTGGATAGGGGGACATGGGTATCTGGATGAGGGGGACATGGGTACCAGGATGAGGGGGACATGGACACAAGGGATGTGCACAGGTGGGCATGGGTACCTGGATGAGGTGGACGTGGGTACCAGGATAAGAAGGATGCGGGTACCTGGATGAGAAGAATGTGGGTACCTGGATGAGGAGGACATGGATACAGGGGATGTGCACAGGGGGACATGGGCACCTGGATGAGAAGGATGTGGGTACCTGGATGAGGGGGACATAGATACAGGGGATGTGCACAGGGGGCATGGGTACCTGGACGAGAAGGATGTGGGTACCAGGATGAGAAGGATGTGAGTACCGGGATGAGAAGGATGTGAGTACCTGGATGAGAAGGATGTGAGTACCTGGATGAGAAGGATGTGAGTACCTGGATGAGAAGGATGTGAGTACCTGGATGAGAAGGATGTGAGTACCTGGATGAGAAGGATGTGAGTACCTGGATGAGAAGGATGTGGGCACCTGGATGAGGAGGATGTGGGCACCTGGATGAGAAGGATGTGGGCACCTGGATGAGGAGGATGTGAGTACCTGGATGAGAAGGATGTGGGTACCTGGATGAGGAGGATGTGGGTACCTGGATGAGGAGGATGTGGGTACCTGGATGAGGAGGACATGGACACAGGGGATGTGCACAGGGGGACATGGGTACCTGGATGAGAAGGATGTGGGTACCTGGATGAGAAGGATGTGGGCACCTGGATGAGGAGGATGTGAGTACCTGGATGAGAAGGATGTGGGTACCTGGATGAGGAGGATGTGGGTACCTGGATGAGGAGGACATGGACACAGGGGATGTGCACAGGGGGACATGGGTACCTAGATAAGAAGGATGTGGGTACCTGGATGAGGGGAACATGCACACAAGGGATTTGGACAGGGGGACATGGGTACCTGGATGAGGGGGATGTGGCCAGAGGTTGCAGGAGGCCCACAGCAACCCCATGCGACCAGAACACAACCACAGTCACCTCACTGTTGCCCCCATCACCCCCATCCCCCCCCTTTCCCATCCCTTCCAGCTGAACTACCTGGGCCCCCCTTTCAATGAGCCCGACTTCAACCCCCCGCGCCTGGCCCGGGCCGAGCGGGTCCCCAGCGCCACGGTGGACCTGGAGCTGTGGCGGGGCCTGACCGACAACGCCCGCTTGGCCGCCAACTACCGGGCCTACAGCCGGGTGCTGTGCTCGCTGCGGGCGCTGGACGCGCAGGGCACGGCCGAGCTGCGCCATCGCCTGGGCCACTTCTGCTCCAGCCTGCAGGGCTTGGTGCTGAGCATCGCGGGGGTCATGTCCTCCCTCGGGTACCCGCTGCCCGCCGGCCCCCCGGCATCGCCCCACGGGACCCCGGTGCAAGGCGGGGGGGGGCCCCCCAATGACTTCCTGAAGAAGATGGATGATTTCTGGCTGCTCAAGGAGCTGCAGACCTGGCTGTGGCGCTCGGCCAAGGACTTCAACCGGCTCAAGAAGAAGGTGCCGCCGGCTGTGGTGACGCTGAGGATGGAGGCGAGGGGGTTCTGAGCTCGCCGCGGCGCTGGGGTGGGGATAGGGCTCCAAAGCGCAGTGGGAACCTCGCTGTGGGTTGGGGGGGGCACTCAAAGCGGTGCCAATGGCACCCCAGTTCTGTTGCCATCACCAGAGAGGGTGCCACTGCAGGCACCCCCATGGCCCCTGTGTCACCACGTTGTGCCTTGTGGGATGGGGTCCTGGACCTAAAGTGCCACCAAAGTGACCCCACAGCACTTCCGTCACTGCTGTGCCTTGTGGGATGGGGCTCCGACCCCAAAGTGCCACCAGCATCATCACCAAAGCACCTCTCCATCACCAATGTGCCCTCAGAGATGGGGCTCTGACCCCAAAGTGCCACCACCACCATCACCACTGTGCCTTGTGGGATGGGGCTCTGACCCCAAAGCACCACCAACACCATCACCATCACCACTGTGCCCTGTGGGATGGGGCTCCAACCCCAAAGCACCACCAGCATCATCACCAAAGCACCCCTCCATCACCGCTGTGCCTTGTGGGATGGGGCTCTGACCCCAAAGTGCCACCAGCATCATCACCAAAGCACCTCTCCATCACCACTGTGCCTTATGGGATAGGACTCCAACCCCAAAGTACCACCACCATCATCACCACTGTGCCTTCAGAGATGGGGCTCCAACCCCAAAGTGCCACCATCACCATCACCACTGTGCCCTGTGGGATGGGGCTCTCACCCCAAAGCACCACCATCACCATCACCAAAGCACCTCTCCATCACCAATGTGCCTTGTGGGATGGGGCTCCAACCCCAAAGTGCCATCACCACCATCACCATCACCACTGTGCCTTGTGGGATAGGGCTCCAACCCCAAAGTGCCACCACCACCATCACCACTGTGCCTTGTGGGATGGGGCTCTGCCCCCAAAGCGCCACCAAAGCCATTCCACAACCCCACCACCACAACAGTGCCTTAAGGGATGGGTCTTTTGACCCCAAAGCGCCACCAAAGCCACCCCATAACCCCACCATCATCACAAGTGCCTTAAGGGATGGGTCTCCTGACCCCAAAGTGCCGCTGCAGACACCCCACAGCCCCTCTGTCACCACATCGTGCCTAAAGAGATGGGTCTCCTGACCCCAAAGTGCCACCACAGCCACCCCACAGCCCCATTGGAAGCCACCACGTCGTCCCCACCACCACACTGCGCCCAGCCCCTCATCCCTGCCCCATATCAATGGGGCTTACGAGGGCAGCAGCCTCCCCGCTCCCCACCCCACAGCAGCAATAAGCCCCACCCCCAAGTACTATAGGGTGCGTGCAAGCCCCGCCCACCCAAAACGGACCAATCCCCTTCGAGCATCGGTATAAACCCCGCCCCCTACTATAGGCTCCGCCTCCCTGCTACCCAAGCCCTGCCTTTCCCATGGTTGCTTAGCAACCAACAGAGGGAGCGCGGGGGAGAGGCGTGGCTTGGGGGTGTGCGGCGGTGGGCGTGGCTTACGCGGGGGGGCGTGGCCTGTGTCCCGGTGCGTCTGTGCGTGTTTATTTATTGGAGATGTTATTTATTGGGGTATTTATTGCAGAAGATCTATTCTTGTATGAACGAATTAAAGCCTTTCTCCAGCAGCCGCCCTGGGCCGTGGGTAGGGACCAGGGTGAAGGGGCAGCTCCCATGGATGCGGGATGGGGACCCCGTGGTACCCCCGAGATGGGGATGGGATGCTTGGGATGCTGCAGCATGGGGGGTGATTGGGGAACCCCATTGCCACCCTGTCCCCCTGCACTCATAGGGTGCAGAGGACAGGACCTGCGGGACTGGGTTTGGGGGGGGGGTGACTGTGTCCATCAGGGTGGGGGTCAGGCTGTGATGTGGGGACCCCATCACTGGCAGGGCAGGAATGGGGGGACAGGGGCCCTCAGTTAGCCCATCACTGGCAGGGCAGGGGTGAAGGGGACAGGGGGTGCACAGGGTTCCCATCACCAGTAGGGAAAGGCTGGGGGGGAACTGGGGGGTCCTCATCACTGGTAGGGCAGGAATAGGACAGGGGGGTCCCCATCAGCAGCAGGGCAGGGATAGGGGGACAGGGGGTGCATAGGGTTCCCATCACCAGTAGGGAAAGGCTGGGGGGGAACTGGGGGGTCCTCATCACTGGTAGGGCAGGAATAGGACAGGGGGATCCCCATCAGCAGCAGGGCAGGGATTGGGGGACAGGGATGTCCCCATCACCAGCAGAGTGGGGGGGCAGGCTCCTGGGCACATCAGTATCAGCAAGGTTCCTCAGTGACATCAAGGCTCCATGGGGCAGGAGATGGTCCCAGCGCTATGGGGCTACGGGGTGCTGATGGCTGCGTGTATTTCCCATAAGGACAGCGCTGGCCCCATGCCCAGTGCCCCATGGGATGGACCCTGCCCGGTGCCCCCCCTTATGGAGCCACCCCCTGGGCAAGGGGCACTCGCTGGCCCGTGGCGACTGGTGGAGGACCAGGGACCTGCTGGTGCCACCGTGTGCCCCATAGAGCCTGGGACCTGCTGGTGCCACCGTGTGCCCCATAGAGCCTGGGACCTGCTGGTGCCACCGTGTGCCCCATAGAGCCTGGGACCTGCTGGTGCCACCCTGTGCCCCATAGAGACAGGGACCTGCTGGTGCCACCGTGTGCCCCACGGTCTCTGACACCCACCCCAAGGCCCATTGGGACCCACGGCCACAGGACCGCTTGTGGGGTGAGTGATAAAGGGATGGGGACAGGGATGGGGATGGGGACAGGGTCCAGCCGTGGGCTCCTGTTCCTATTGTTATTGTAGGGTCTCTGAGCAGGACGATGCTGATCCTGACGTGCCCGGCTCAGCTGCAGCGCTTGGAGGGAGCCCTGCGGAGGAGCCTGCCCCTTACCCTGCCGGTGATGGGGGGGACCCCCCTCTGTCACCCCTGCCCTGTGCTGGGACAGGGACCCCCCTCTGTCACCCCTGCCCTGGTGGTGGGGACCCCAGTGTCACCCCTCCGCTGTCCAATCACTTGGGACCCCCATGTCCCTGCCCCTTTGCCAAAGCAGGGACCCCCATATCCTGCCCCCAGTGATGGGGGACCCCCCCCCCATGAGGGTCCCAAGTCCAGGACAGGCAGCTCCTGGGCATTACCCAACTGACCAATCCCAGCCCAGCTTGATTCCAAGCTAGCCAATCCCCTTTGACACCCACGCAAGCCAACCAATCCTCTCCCAGCCTCCCATACAAGCCAGCGAATCCCAGCTTAGACAATGTGAAAGCAGCCAATCCCAAGCTTCCACGCCCACTTCCCACAGCCCCACCCACTTATGGGGCTCTGCCCTCTTTGTCTTCACCCCACACATCCCTATGGGACCCGGGGGGCTGTGGGGTGCACCCATCACCCAGGACCCCACATTGGCCCCCCTGCACCCCACAACCCATCTCAGCCCCCTTCACCCCCAGCTCTATGGGGCCATGGTGGGCACCAGAGGGATTCACCCCACACACCCCTATGGGGCCAGGGCGGGCTGTGGGGTGCACCCATTGCTTGGGAACCCCCACATCTACCTCCTGCCCCCCATATCCCACCTCTGCCCCCCATATCCCACCTCTGCAGGTCTATGGGGCCGTGATGAACATCAACCGGGGCAACCCAGCGGGGCTGGAGGTGGTGGTGGATGCATGGCCTGAGTTCGGTGCCGTGCTGGCGCGGCGCAGAGGAGAGGTGCCCATAGGGACCCCCTCATGGGTGCTTGTGGGGTGGCCCCATAGAGGGTACCCATGGGCTCAGGGCACCCATGGGTGCCCCGCAGGTGCCTCTGGATGACTGCTATAGGAACACGAGCGCGGTGTTCTACCGGGATGTGGGTGCTTACCGGGCGCTGCTGGAGACCCCGGGGTGCCTGCGCTGGGAGGCGGCGTTCCACATCATCGGTGGTGCTGGGATGGGGGTCCTGGGGGTAACGGGAAGGGATTGGGGGTGCTGGGGGATGTGGGCTGGAATTGGGGTGCTGGGGGATGTGGGGCTGTAATTGGGGTGCTGGAGATGGGGGGGTGGGAATTGGGGTGCTGGGGGATGTGGGGCTGGAATTGGGGTGCTGGGAGGTGGTGGGGTGGGAATTGGGGTGCTGGGGGATGTGGGGCTGGAATTGGGGTGCTGGGAGATGGGGGGTGGGAATTGGGGTGCTGGGGGATGTGGGGCTGGAATTGGGGTGCTGGGAGGTGGTGGGGTGGGAATTGGGGTGCTGGGGGATGTGGGGCTGGAATTGGGGTGCTGGGAGGTGGTGGGGTGGGAATTGGGGTGCTGGGGGATGTGGGGCTGGAATTGGGGTGCAGGGGGATGTGGGGCTGGAATTGGGGTGCTGGGAGGTGGTGGGGCTGGAATTGGGGTGCTGGGAGATGTGGGGCTGGAATTGGGGTGCTGGGAGCACTGGGAGCATGGGAGAGGCACTGGGGTGAGGAAGTGGAGGTGCTGGGATGCGCTGGGGGAAGGAGCAGAGGGTACAGGGGGACATGGGGCTGGAATTGGGGTGCTGGGGGCATTGGTTTGATGGGTGCTGTCACCGGAGGCTGTTGTGGTTGGACCTTGGGGTGCACTGGGGGCAGCAAAGTGGGTGATGGTGGAGCAGCCCCCCCCTGACAGCGCCACCCCCAGGCCTTCAGGACGGGGTGCCCGCGGTGTCAGAGGCCATAGCGAGGGCCAAGGGCATCGAGCTCGATATCTCCCATTATTACACCTACCTGCACCCCAACCCCAGCACCATGCCCGAGCCGCGGTGAGACCCCCAAACCCAGCCCTATCCCCATCCCGAACCCCATCCTCATCCCCATCCCATTCCCATCCAACCCCCCTCCCATCCCCATCCCCATCCCATTCTCATCCTAATCCCTTCCCCATCCCATCTCCATCCCCTTCCCTTCTCCATCCCATCCCCATCTTCACCCTCATCCCCACCCTCATCGTCATCCTCATTCCTATCCCATCTCCATCCCATCCCATCCCCATCCCCATCCCATCCCTGTCCCCAACCCATCCCCATCCCATTACCATCCTATCCAGAGCCCCATCCCCATCCCCTTCCCTTCTCCATCTCATCCCCTTCTCTTCTCCATTTCTGTCCCCATCCCCATCCCCATCCCCATCCCACCCCCATCCCCATCCCACCTCCATTCCCATCCCATCATCCCCCATCCATCCCCATCCCCATCCCATCCCCATCCCCATCCCCATCCCATCCCCATCCCATCCCCATCCCATCCCCATCCCATCCCCATCCCCATCCATCCCTATCCCATCCCCATCCCCATCCCATCCCCATCCATCCCCATCGCCATCCATCCCCATCCCCATCCATCCCCATCCCCATCCCATCCCCATCCCCATCCCATCCCCATCCCATCCCCATCCATCCCCATCCCACCTCCATTCCCATCCCCATCCCATCCCATCCCATCCCCATCCCATCCCCATCCCCATCCCATCCCCATCCATTCTCCCCATCCATCCCCATCCATCCCCATCCCACCTCCCATTCCCATCCCCATCCTCCCATCCCAGCCCCATCCCCATCCCATCCCCATCCCCATCCCAGCCCCATCCCCATCCCATCCCCATCCCCATCCCCATCCCCACCCCACCCCCATCTCCCCACTAACCCACCCCTCACCACAGCCTGGACCCGGGCCTGCGGGTGGGCTCCCTGACCCCAGCACACGTGGATCTGCTCAACAAGACCTGGCCCTACGGGGGCACAGCTCGGAGCCGCCAGTACCTGGAGGAGCTGCTGCGGCTCTTCCCCAGCCTGTGCCTGCGGGACGGGGCCGGGCAGCCGCTGTCCTGGGCGCTGACGGACCCCTTCGGAGCCGGCACGCACGGGTACACGCTCCCCGCGCACCGCCGCAGCGGGTACATGTGCACGGTGCTGGGCTTGGCTGCCCGCAGGGCTCAGGCTCGTGGCTTCCCCACCTTCGGCTTCACGGCCACCGGGAACCGGCCCATGCAGCGCCTGCAGGAGGAGATGGGGCATCAGCGCCTGCCGGGGCTGTGCTGTTACATCCTGCACAACCCTAACCTGAAGGGAGCCTAAATCCTACCCCCCCATTTCCATTCCCCCATTCCAGCCCTTGGAATGGGTGGGGAAGTGTGAGGGAGGAAACACGGAACTGAAAGCAAAAGAGCGGTGTGGATTCTCTGGTGGCTGCTATGGGGTTGTGCGGCCGCTTTTCTCACGCGTGGCTTAACACCGGCCGTTACAGAGCGGGTTTGGTGCTGAGGGATTTGCCCCTAGGGAGTCACCTCGTGTCCGCGCACAGCCCCATAGAATCAATGGGGCAGCACCGCCGGTTCCGACGCCTGAGCTCCCTATGGGGCTGGTGCGGGACACGCACCACGGCTCCTGCTGTCGGGTTCCCTATGGGAGGGCTGAAGAGCCTCAAGCACCTGCAGTGTCCCCCCCACGGGACGGTGTCACCGGGGGGATGCGCTGCTTGCGGAGCCCATTGACGGGGTGGGGGGGGGACCGATGCAGAGCGCAGCGCTGAGCCACCGGTAACGGGGACAACGGGGACAAAAGGGAGGGGACAGCGCCGGCCCCGCCGCTTCCGCCCCATAGGCGGGGCGTTGTGCGCTGGTTACCGGTAGGAACGCGGCCCCCGCCGCTGTCCCGCAGGGCGATGGAGCAGCCCCGGCTCATCACCGACTCCTTCCCGTTACGGCGGCGGCGGCAGCGGCCGGGCCGAGCCCCGGGCACGGGTAAAGGCAAAGGGAAGGGGAAAGGCACGGGGTGCCCCCGGGTTCCAGCGGCGGAGGAGGAGCCACCGGGGTCCGGTCCGGATCCGAGCGTCCTGGAGATGCTGCGGAGCTTCGATCTGGCGTGGGAGTACGGGCCGTGCACTGGTGAGAGAACCGGGACCGCGCTGACCCCCATGGAACCCCCATGATGGAACCCCCTGGATCGCCCTATTCCCACTGCTCCCCCCCAATTCCCATAGGAATCACCCGCCTGCAGCGCTGGGAGCGCGCACAGGAGCTGGGGCTCAGCCCCCCGGACACGGTGCGTGATGCCCTCCTGGAGCATCAGGATGATCCCAGCATCATCTACAAGTGGGTATTAAACGGGATGGGGAACACACACACACACACAGGGTT